CCATTTGACCCCATTTTACAGACGAGCAAGTGAAGATTCAGAAGGCAGATGTTACTTGGTCTCAACACAAGGAGCGGGGAAGTGCTGGGATTCAAACCCAGGACCCCTTGATGTCGGAGCCCCCAGATGCACCCCCTTCTGTGTCTGTGTCCCTCCCTCCTTGACATGCCACCATGCCTGGGCCCCTCACCCCTTCTGTCCCAGCCCTGGGTCCTGGCCTCTGGCCCTTGTGGCGGGCGTGGCCTTGGCCGGGCCCCCTGATGCTTTCCCAGCCAGAGGTCAGGGGAGTGGCTTCTGATCAGGGGCTTGGGGCTTGAGCAGCGCCACCTCAAGGCAAAGTCGGTTGGGGACACAGAATGGAAACTCCTCATGCATCACCCAGCCTGGCCTCCTCCACTGTGCCGTCCCTCCCTGCAGTCTGGGAGCCAGAGACGCTGGTGGGGGGAGGTCCAGTGGTGAGGCTGTAGCAGGCCCGGGACCAGAACCCAAATGACTTGTTTCCCATCCTGTGCTCCTCCCCGGACTCTGCCCAAAAATGAAATTTTAAGAATAAAATAAAAGGACAACAGCCATCAGGCAGACAGTCAATAAAAATTTCCAAGGCACACAGAATCCCAAGTTTCAACATATAGGTGTACATTTTTTTTTTTTTTTTTTTTTTGGTCTCAAAATGTTGTTACAGCCAAGGCTCCTCCCCTCCAGGAAGTTCCATTTGAGGGTCCAGATCCAAGGGCGCACCCTCCAAGGCTGGAGACACAGAAGGTTCTCCAAGGAGCCGCTTTCTTGCTGCCCTTCAGGGGAAGCATCCAGCACTGGCTCAGGCCCCCCAAGTGCCTCTCTCCTCTGGATAACTTGTGTCATCAGGGCTGCTGGTAACCCTGGTGGGGCTGTGAGAGGTCCCAACACCTGCAGGCTCTGTCCCGTCTGCCATCCATGTTGGTTCCAATTTATATACAAGTCCAGGTTCTTGGACCCTCCCTGTAGCTCTCCTGTCCTCCCTCCCTTCCTCTCTTCTTTCCTTCCTTCCTTCACCTGTTCACCAATATGCATATTCACTCAGCGAACATCCTGTGGCCGGTGCTGGGGTGCTGGGAGGGACTGCTGTGGGGACAAGGACCTGTGAGGGCCACTGTGGAACATTCTAGGCCTTTCGGATCTCTTCAAAAGCTGCATTTATGGAACACTTAGCATGCACCAGGCTCTGTTCCAAGCGCATTGTGTTATTAACTCACTTGATCTTACAACAACACCATGAGGGAGAAAGGAGGTACTCTTCTTACCCTCATTTTACAGATGAGAGGAAGACTAAGACAGAGCGGTTAATGACTTGCCCCAGGCCACACAGCTAGAACGCTGTGAAGCAAGGATTTGAACCAGGAGGACTTTAGCACTCACAAGGGCAGGGTTTTCACTAATTTTAAAGCGTGAGCACGTCTAGGATCGCACACAATCTCTCAGTGATCCAGTAAAACAGGAACGACCGAGATGCTGAGTTCTGTATCACAGGTGAGGACAAAGCCAAACAGGGAGTTTGGGTGGGGGCACCGGAACCCTGGGCGCTCACCCCTGCATCCTACTGTCTCAGGGCCACTGTTGTTGGGGGGGTTGTGGGGGAGGTGGTTGGGTTGTTGATTAAACTTCGCTCAGTCTCAGCGCCCGGGCCCGGCCACTGTGACAGCCCCGGGACATCCCCTGGGCTGGCTTGCTCAGAGATATTTTCCACCACCACGGTATGACACACTTGACGACACTCCCATCACAGGGCCTGGGGGGTGGGGGGTGGGTGGCGCGGGGCTGTGGGAAAGCAAGGCCGGAAGTGCTGAGTGGGGAGAGAGATGCAGGTTCGGGGGAGAGGTACCCAGTCTACAATTCCTGGAAGCCAGGACGCAGAGGGAGGGAGGAGCTGGCGGGAGACTTATCATCTTCCTCCGTGCACCTGGCCTCATGCCACGCGCTGGCCACAGAGACCTCAGCCCTGGGCGGGGGAGTGACCGTGGAGGACACAGACAAGTAAAGGGACAGCCACACCCTCCTCTGCGGAGCCAGAGTCTTTACTGGAAATACTCTGCATGGGAGGGTTCTGAAGGAATCTCCTCAACTGGGGAGGGACAGTGACATGTTACATGGGCTTTAGCCAGAGAGGCTCAGCGACACTTCAGCTAGTTCGGGATATAGCTGGCGGAGGAGGTGGAAGGATTAGAGGGGTAGGTGGTGGGGGACAGGTGGACCAAGGAGGAGGCTGAGCAGGGATCTGAGCTCAAGGCGATGCTGCCGGGTCACAAGGGTGCAGATGATTTCAACTACAACTGCAATCATGGCAAGCAAGCTGCTGTGTTCATTTTTTAATTGGTTGCCAGGAAGCTTAGGATGGAATTTTGCTTATTTTTTCCCCATTAATATAATCATCTCCTGTGCAGCCCTGTGTATGCAAAGGGCCAAAAGCTGTGTCCAAATGTACAGGACTTTGGATCCTGGCTCTACCAACCATCAGCTGCATTTTGATACTTCCCTGTGCCTCAGTTTCCAAATCTGCAAAACAGGGAACATAACACCTGCCTGGCTGGGTCTTTTCAGGTGATAAGGATAATGCTTGGTAAGTACCTGGCACAGTGTCTAAATGTAATTCTTGATCTTTTTTGAAGTCATCCAGGATGCTAATTGTTAAGAGGGCAGCAATAGGTTATTCACCCTAGGATGGACGGTTTCCGCTGTAATTTGCTCAGTGGCCGTGGACCTGGAAGTTGCTTAGAGTGGGATCTGGAAGGTGGGGAGAGAGCAGGGATACCAGATGACAGCAGATGAGGAAACCATATAGTCCAAACAAATAACCCAGTCAGGAAATGGGCGGAAGACATGAACAGACATTTCTCCAAAGAAGCCCTACAAATGGCCAACCGACACATGAAAAAATGCTCAATATCACTCATCATCAGGGAAATACAAATCAAAACCACAATGAGAAACCGGTCAGAATGGCTAAAATTAACAACTTAGGAAATAAGAGATGTTGGCAAGGATGTGGAGAAAAGGGAACCCTCTTACACTGCTGATGGGAACACAAGCTGGTAAGGCCACTCTGGAAAACAGTATGGAGGTTCCTCAGAAAAGTTAAAAATAGAGCCACTCTATGGCCCAGTAATTGCACTACTAGGCATTTACCCAAAGGATACAAACATAGTGATTCAAAGGGGCACATGCACCCCAATGTTTATAGCAGCAATGTCCACAATAGCCAAACTGTGGAAAGAGCCCAGATGTCCATTGGCAGATGAATAGATAAAGAAGATGTGGTATATATATGTACAATGGAATATTACTCAGCCATCAGAAAAAATGAAATCCTGCCATTTGCAACAACGTAGATGGAACTGGAGGGTATTATGCTAAGTGAAATAAGTCAGTCAGAGAAAGACAAATACCGTATGATTTCACTCATATGTGGAATTTAAGAAGCAAAACAGATGAATATAGGGGAAGGGAAGGAAAAATAAAATAAGATGAAAACAGAGAGGGAGGCAAACCATAAAAGACTCTTAATTATGGGAAACAAACTGAGGGTTGCTGGAGGGGAGGGGGGTGGGGGGATGTGGTAACAGGGTGATGGGCATTAAGGAGGGCACATGATGTAATGAGCACTGGGTGTTATATGCAACTGATGAATCACTGGGTTCTACCCCTGAAACTAATAATACACTATATATTAATTAAAATGAACTTAAATAAAAAAATTTTTAAAAAAGAAATTAGAGATCTGAGAGGCTGGAAGGGCCGCCCACCTCTCCCTCCTTTTCTCTTATCCCCCCCTCCATCCCCCCCCTCCACCCCCCATCTGCCCTGGCTGACAGATCTCCCAGGGCCCTTGGCTGCCTGGTTCCCAAATGGTGCCGCTCCTCTCCCTGCAGTCTGACCCAGGCAGGACTGTCTCTGCTTCACCCTTGCCCCCCCTACCAGCTGCTCCCTCCTTACCCCGTCTCCTGAGGCACAAACTCTAATCCACCCTGGACATGTCACACTGTAGCTTCTGGCCCATCACTCTACCTGGTGCAAGGCGGCCCCTCATTCTGCTCACTGCCAGCTAAAGTCTCTTGTCAGACATGGTGGGGACAACTGGGTTCCCTGGGTGTGCCTGCTCATAGGCCCCTCTTGGCTTTCCAGCCTCCAACACCTCAGGTTCAGTTTTCCCTGCCTGGAAAATCAGTCTGGAAAGATAAGACCTTCCATTGTGGAAGGAACCTGAGGGATGATCTGGTCCAGCTATGTCACCAGGTGCCAGCTATGATAAATCAGGACCTGCCTACATAATCTAAAGCTGTCCTCAAACTTCACAAGAAGGAGAGCCATGATCGGTTAACAATGTCTGCCGTGAGTGGGTGCAATTGATTAGTGATGTCTGCCACCGGTGCAGCTTTATGAATGCCAGATATTGCCATCCACGATCTGGTCCAACTATTCAGTCAAAGGCATAGAAGAAAAAAAAATTATACATATATATATATGAGTTTTAATGTAATTTATATATATAAATTATATATATAAATTATTTAATTAAATATATAATCTTTATATATTTTATATATAAATTATATACATAAAATTATATATATTTATTTATTATTAAATAATAAATATATGTATATTAAAATTACATTTATTTCATTGTATTTATATTTATTATGTATTCTGTCTATATTATTAATTTATATTATATTAAATATACATATCAATTATATTTTTATGATATTTTATTTTTATTTTCCCATGAGACCATGTCGGATGGTGCCCAGACACAGAATAAGATAAACCTGACTCTTACTAGCAAAAAAGATACTCCTTTTACAACCTTTTTGCTTTCTCACCGTTTGGTGCTGGCTGGAATGTCCTCAACAGTTTCCCAACACTTGCTTATCCCCCCTTTAAACTAAGAGAGCAGATTTCCAGCAGGCAATGAATTGAGACATTTTATTTTATTGTATTTATTTTTTATAGTTACCTTTTATTTATAGTGAGTATCAGCTTTTCCATTTAAAGAAGCAATACAAAGGTTTTTCTTTTTAAATAAAAGTATTTAAACCAAAAAGTGAATGGATTTGAAGAAAAATATTAAGTAAACAATAACAGAGATGGTACATTGAAAATACATATAGCACAAATGCCCGAGGCTTGAGAACTGTAACTGTCCCAAGAACTCTTCAAAACAGAGACTGACTTGGAGAGAGGTTTCACAGTTTGCCCTGGGACACAGAGCAAGGGTCTGGGCACGGAGCTTGGGTCTGATGCTCAGGCCAGGACTGAGGAGCCTCGTGGCCCGGAACACATGGCGTCGTATGGCAGGAGGTGGGAAGGAGCCAGGTAATTAAGCTCTTTCGTGGTAAGGATCCAAGACTCAGACATCCTCAAGAAAGGGGAGTTTATTTCGGGCATAAGGAAAACAATCTTGAGCGAACAGTCAGCAGCCCCTCTGGCAGCAGGAGTCTGGGTAGCAGAGCCAGATGCCCTCTGCTAACGGGGCTGAACTCCTCCGCAGGTTTCTCCCAGCTCCTTCTCCCGAGGCACCTGCTCCCAGGGACCTCCCTCTTTCCCTGAGTTCAAAAGGCTCAAGACTGAGAGAAATATGATTGGCCAGTTCAGGTCCGGCCTCCCTGATTGGGTGGAGCTTCTTTTCTGAGCCAGTTCATAGGCTGCTTGTCGGCCTGTGGGTGGGCTTGTGTCAGGTCCCCACCCAATCAGCTAGGCGCAGGGCCTATAAGTGCAGGTACACCGCGCTCACAGCTTGGTGACCCGGGAAGGCGTGCTTTCTTGGCAGAGACTTTTAGTGTGAGAGGAAGGTTGCGGCAGACATCACAGGTGTGATCTGTGTCAGGGACAGAGGGAAGAGAAGTGGAGAGGTGGTGGTGAGCACCGAGAAGGAAGGGGCCGGCCCCGTGTGTCTGTGTTTGGGTTGCAGGGAGGATTGCCCTGAAAGGAGACGAGCCTCTTGCTGGAATGGGCATTCTGGAACCTAGTGAGCATGGGGCTTCGCCTCTCTGTGTCTTGACCTCAGAGGGGGACGATGCCCCCTGTGTGAAGGTAGCCGGGCACCGGGAGGCCAAGCAAGGTGGTCCCAGATAGTTCATTAATTCATCCAGGGAATATGATGAGGGTGCCAAGCGCACTGTGAAGTGCGGTGAGCGAGCTGCTCTTCTGGGTGCGGGGGTGCCAGCCCCTGAGCTGCATTAGAGATCCCTCCAGTAAAGGTCTAGACTCTCTCTGACAGCCTCAGAACCTGCCACTGGGAGGCGTTTACTTTCCAGCAGCAGGCCTCCCGAGTCTGTGAAACCGCTATGGAAAGATCCAGCCAGTGTCGACTTTCGCCGGGGATTTGCGACCGTACTTGGGCCACAGTGGCAGGGACCCAGGAGCTAAGCATGCCGAGGTCACAAGAGATCCCAAGGGTGAAGTGACATGGCCGCTTTGTCTAGCCATCCCATGACCCTGAGAACCCCCTCCGGGACCGAATCTCGAAGTTTGGGCACATTCATGGAGGCAGTGTCTCCCTTCAAGGGAAGCAGAACAGACCCTTGAGGCATAAGAGGGTTTGTCACCTAGATGAGGGAGGAGAGAGCACTGCAGGTACAGGGAACAGCATGTGCAAAGGTGTGGGGGCGTGAGGGAGCTGCTGGTGCCTCAGTAGGACCACTGGGAGGGTTCCAGAAGGGAATGTCCCAGCATGATGCTGGAGGAGCAAGAGCTAGGCCAAGAAGTGGTGTGAGGGCAGCGGGGAGCCATGGCAGGGTTTAAACAAGGGGCAGCAGAGCCGTATTTGTGGTTCAGAGAGAGCACTCTGGCTGCCCTGTGGAGGATGGGCAAGAGGGGGTGCACTGGGGCGGGAAACCCAGGGAGGAGGACACGGTGAAGATCCCTGGAGAACCCCAAAAACTCTCCGTGAAGAGTCCTTGCAGGGCTGGGGAGGAGGGATGCTTTAGAGGCAAAAGCCATGGGACTCCACTGCAGATGAGGGGAGTCCCAGTGCCCCCACCCGCTGCAGTTCTTGGCTTGGGCCACGGAACCAGGGAGCAGCAATGACGGTTTTGGAAGTGAACAGCTGAGTGTGCAGGGCTGGGTGGGGGCCCTCGGGGCAGAGATGTCCAGGGGGTAGCTAGACGCTGGGTGGCTCAGCAGTGGACGAGCCTTGAGGACAAAGAGCCCTCACGTGGGCCCGGCACAACAGTGGGCAGCGACCTGCCTGGTCATCGGTCTACACTAAGTAAGCCGGGTCCTGATTCTGCAGCTCTTGGAGGGACAGGTAGGCATCGGTGTTCAGGGTCAGGCAGAAGGTAGGGGCCCTGACCTGGCCTCGCCCGGGGAGACTAGCCCAGGGGAAGCTGACCCCCTCCCCGGGGCCAGGGGCTGGGACCTCCCCTCTTGCTTCCCGCAGGGCATGCTCTGGGGGTGGCTGGCTATCCCCCAGGTCAGGCGCTCCTGGGGTGGGAGGCACCAGGGGCTGGGGGGCCCAGTCTCTGGGAGCTCCCTCCTGCAGAGAGGGGGGCAGCTTCTCTTCACCAGCTCCAGCGCCCCCCGGGGCAGGGTTAGGGGGGCTGGGGCCACCCAGGAGACCGGGAGAGAAGAGGAGCAGGTCATCCCCCGGGGGGAAGGTGCAGTAGGCATCGTCCTCCGCTGGCGGGGGCAGCAGGGGCGGGAGGAGAGGCCCCTCGGGCTCCCCGGGCCTGCCCTCCTCGGGCTCTTCTGTGCAGGGGTCATAGGTGAAGTACACCTGGCAGGCCTCGATCTCCACAGCATCAGGGAGGTGGAAGAAGAAGTAACCCTGGTTGGTGAAGCAGCTGGTCAGCGAATGGCCGCTGGTCTCCGTGGAGGGTGAGGGTCCCTTCTGCTGCTGCAGCAGGAGGAGCTGTGTGGCCTTGGCGTCCCGGTCCAACACCTCCAGCGGGGAGATCTCGGCTGCCTGGGCGTTGGGGCTGAAGGATGACGAGGGGAAGGGCGAGGAGAGCCACTTCTGCAGGTAGAGAGAGCAGATGGAACGTGAGTGGAGTGCCTCCCCCAGACTCTCAGAAACAACTCCTAACTACAGTCTACTCAGGGCTGCTACCTCCAGGAAGGCCTCCCTGACTGTACCCCCCCCAACCGGCTTGGGGAACACTCGGGGTCAGCCCAGGGAGGGTGCTTCCTGTAGGTGCCCAGGGGATGTGTCGTTTCGATGAGGGACTGTTTCTGGAGCGCCTGCTGTGAGCCTGGCACCACATTAGGCACCAGGCAGAGGGGGAAAGCCTCCATGCGTCAGGTGGGGGCCAGCACAAGTGTGGGAGTCCACAAACCAGTGTCAAAGCCGAAAGGGCCCTGGAGCCCATCTTGTTCACTTTACAGATGCCCAGAGAGGGGACGTGGCCTTGGTCCTGATCACACAGCCAGCGGTGGGAGAGCTGGGAACAGGCTCCCTGACAAAATCTCTGATGGGCGCGGATGGTCCTGCAATTCTCCACCCCCCGCCCCAGTGCTGTGCGGCCCCCACCTGCCACACAGTCCCTCCGCAGAGAGAAGAAAGTGCCCACCAGAGCACCTCCCAGTGGCTCTGGAGTCTGGAGAGCCCAGGTCCTCACTGACTGTGTGACCCTGGGCAGGTCACTGCACCTCTCTGAGCCTCAATTGCACAACACTTAGCCCCCTCTTTCCCAGCTTCCTTACTGTGGGCCAGCAGGAGGATGCCAAATAAAATGAAGGCAGAAGTCCCTGGCCCAGCGTGAAAGGCAGACCACCCGCAGAGGCGTAAGGGACAGCAGGCCCTCAGGGGTGTGATGGGGGCCGCGGGTGGTTACAGTTGAGAACCCCAACAGCCCTCTGTCCTGGGAGCCCTCAGCAGCTGGACTGGGGGTCCCCTGGGCACAGGGACCAGGCCCGACGGGCTCCTCCCACACTCCTGTGCCCAGCAGGCTGAGAAGAGAGGGAGAGTGCAGGTCCGGGGCCGGGGGAGGGGGGTCAGGCGGGTAGGGTCCGGCCCTGGAAGAGGCAGTGGAGGGGGCAGGGCCAGGCAGGTGGTGCTGGGCATGCAACCAGAAGAAGGAGAGGCCAGGCCTGTGGCCTGCACTGGTGTGCCAGGGCCTCGCTGGCCCCTCTCAGAGGTGTGCATGGTCAGCCACTTCCTGGGCCCGGGCCTCCGTCCACAATGCCCTGAAGTGGAGGTGGAAGGCGGGTGCAAAGAGAAATGTATCCCTCTTCACACACACCCTCACACACTGGCACACATACGCCCGGGTCCCATGGATAGGGGGGCAGTGGGCCTTGTGGCCCGGTAGCCAGAGGTCCTGGGGAAGAGAGAGAGGAGCAGGCCTCCCCCCCAGATGCAGAGGAGAGGGTGCGGTCCCTCTTGGCCAGCCCCAATCCCCAACCACACTGTGCCTCCCCAGGGCTTCCTTGGGATACCCTCTCCACACCCTAGGTCTGGGACAAGCATCTAGACCTGGGGATGAACTCATGGGAAGATGGAGTGGTTTGTACCTCTCCAGGATGGAGCCCACTCCCACCTCAAAATGTCCTAGTCACATAGAATCAAGAAGATTTCACCCTGGAAGAGGACTAAGGATGCCTCTAGTCCAGCCTTCAACCAGGAATCCCTTCTGCTATATTTCTGACACATAGTAAGCCAAGGCTTGCTAGAATGCCTCTGTTGATGGGGTGCTCACTACCTTTAGGGCTTTAGGAAGAATTTTAAGGAGATACGTTCCCCCACATCAAGAGAACTGTAGGTCAGCTATCCCCAGTCTTGGGAGTTTTCCAAAGAATTCCAGAAGGGGTCCTGATCAGCCATAATGGAGAACTCCAAAGCCAACTCTTGACACCTCTGGCCCAGTATGGCTTTCCAGCCCCTCCGTGCTCCTGCTGATCTCCCTCCAGCCCCATCTCATCCTCCGCCAAATCTAGAGAGCCTGGGGAGGGGAAGGTGATCGAAGCAGCCCACCACAACCCCCTTCCCCCTCGACACTTCCTTCCTGAAGCAAGTGTGGGCTCAGGGAGGGGAGATAACTGAGGTTTAATGGGGCTCAGAGTGTTACTACTATCTGGGCCAGCTCTTTCCCAGTGACTCCGCATCAATTGATGAGAAGTGGCTCAAGGACTTGTTACCATGGGGGATAGGGTGTGGAGCCCACTCAGGGCTTTCTGCAGTGGGGAGAGGAACCACTGCCCATGAAGAGGGTCTGCACAAGAGGGGGGCGGGGGGGAAGGGTGTGGAGAAGTGGCAAGTCCTGCTCAGTCAACAGACCGGTGACAGCAATTCTAGCTAGGGCCCCTTGAGCACTTACTGTGCGCCAGGCATGATCTCAGGCCCAACCACACAGTAACACTCTTTCCCTCCCCGAACTAGCACAGAGACATTCCAAAACGCGCCAAGGTCACACAGCCAGGAAGGGCTGGAGCCGGGATTAAAACCCAGGCAGTCTGGCTCAGACGGGAGGTGCTCTTCAGCCTGAGAAGGCTGGTACCAGAGCTGGGGAAAGGGGCCCACACCCAGCCCAGAAGCCACTCACTTCGGTATTTGTCTCCTTTCACAAAGTGCAGACCCACTCTTCCTGTGCCCCCACTCACTCACACCTCTGGCCACCCCCCTGCCAGCCTGAGCCAGCTGCCTGCTTCTCTCCTCCAGCCCCAGACTCCTACCTGGAAATCTCCTCCATGCTCTGACTTCAGCTGGGAAAAGAACTCCGAGGGGTCTGGGATGTGGCACTTCAGAACCTTCTTCAGCCTGAACAGCGGAGGAGCAGGGAGAGAAGGAGGATGAGAAGGGAAGGGGGCCACGGTATCGGCGGGCACCCACAGCCCTGAAGGTAGGGTACAGAGCCACTCCACATTCGTCTGTTGGATCAATACCAAGTGAATTCCCAGGAAGGGAGGGTGCTGGACTAGGTCCTGGGGACATAAGAATGGTGGACAGAGAAGGTCTCTGATCTTAAGGAACTGACATTCTAACAGGGAGACAGACACGAACCAAAGGTGCAACACGACCATTCATTCTATGGAAACAAAAAGCAGAGGGCTGTGCAAAAGAAGGATGTGGGGGTAGGGGACCACAGGAACCAGAGTGGTCAGGGACCACACAGAGCCAGGTGTCTGGAGTAGAGTGAACGAGGAGGCAGGAGGTAGGAGAGAGGCCAGATTGTGTGTCTTCTTATCCAGGCTGTCATGGATGGTGGTTCAGGTTGTGCACTGCCTAAGGGCACCTGGTTTTAGGGGGGTATTGAGTGGGTGCTGAATTCCAGCCCATGCTCTGCTTGCCAAGCTGAGTTCCCCAGTATCTATATGCACCTACCTCAAAATGTGGTCATAGCCTCAAGGCCCCAGAAAGCCTGACTGCCTCCCGTCTAGATGTTCAGGCTCAGGTCGGCCCTCTCCTCCACCCCTTCTGGTCTCCAACCACACCTGCCTCCCTGAACTCTCAGTTGTTGTAATGCTCCTCCCTCCTTCCTATGTAAGGCCTTTGCACACCCTGTTTCTTCTGTTTCTGATGCACTCCCCACCACCTCCACCCTGCCTGGTTAGCTCCTCCTTCAGATCTCAAGGGAGTCCTCACTTTCTTGGGCATGCTTCTGCCAGCCACCCCTCAACCAAGGTTCCTCTCCCCGTTGTCTGTTTCCAATCCATCGAGTACCTTCCTTTACCATCCTATTAGGGTGTGTCATTGTATTTGTGTATGATTTATAAATATCTGCCTTCTCCCACGTGACTATGAGCTCCATAAAGATGGAACCGCATGCATATGTTTGCCCTTGTCTTCCCAGGCCTGGCACTGAGCTGGCACTCTCAACTAATAAAGGAATAAGCTAATGAATGCCGGGATCTAGAGAGATCCACGAGGACACACACATAGAGACAGTTGGCATTTGCACACATGTGTGTATGTGTACTCAACACCCAAGAGTAATGCTCTGGGGGGGCCTCCATGGGGCTTTCCCTCCCCTGCTCCCCTCAGGCTGGTTCCCTGGGCTTCCATCTTTGGGGTGACAAGGAAAAGCCAGGTGTTAGGCAGGGAAGACTTTGGGGAGGGCGGAGGGAGCACTGGTGTGTGGGAGCAGCCGAGGGCTTGACCTGACAGGGGGTGTGTGTGTCAGATTGTCAGATGAGAGCACGAAGGAGCGGGAAGGGAGGGCTCTTACCATGGTCCGATGTACTGGTAGTTGGCCAACAAGCAGACCAAGATGATAAAGCCAGAGACACAGATGACGCCCAACATCATGGGGCCAAGCCAAAGAAAGGTCAGAGTCTGCTTCTCTGAGGCTACCCAGGGGCAGGAGGAGAAGCAGGGAGAGGGGTTAGAGAGGCGCCCCCGCTCGCCCAGATCACTCCAGCATCCCCCCCACTGCCACCCTGGTGCTGAGGGACAGGCCGACCTCAGACCCAAGGCCTTCGCAGGTCCCGGCTGGCCCAGCAGACCTGCTGTGTACCGGGCTGACAAGGGACATTGCGTGCCTCATCACAGCAGCCCTGCCGGGGAGCACAGTACCCACTTTACAGACGAGGAAACTGAGGCTTCCAGGTGAGAGCAGCCCACCCCGGCCACACTGCTCACCCTGCAGGGTCACAACGAGTGAGCTAATAATAGCAGATGAGCACGACTGGGTCTGAGCCCTGTACCCCTCCCAGGCCCCCCCCACCAGCTGCCCCCAGGCCACACCCCAGCCATCCCCTCCCATCTGAGCTCCATCCCACCCCTTCTGTCCCTGGTACCTGGCGTCCTGAAGGGCAGCGGCTGACTCCAGGGACTCCAAGCTTTGTGGCTGCCTAGGTGGGCCCTGACCCGCACTTGAAATTCATACAGGGTGCCTGGAGTGAGTGTCTCTAGGGAAATCCATTGCTGGTTCTGCCTGAGGATCAGCACGGAGGCCTCCTGGGGCAGAGACAGGCGGGGGTCTGTCAGAGCAGAGGGGTCTCCACGGCTCACCTCACCTCCCATGGCAGGGCTGGCTGGGAGGCTGAGCAGATAACACCTTCCTTCCTCCCCGCCAGCCACCCTCCTCCCCACCCCACCCCCCGCCACTCTCCCCCCACGATCCCTGACTACTCAGCCCCAAGCCCCAAGGGCAGCCTGAACCCCTCCTTCTCATTCATCCTCCACACACAAAGCCTGCTGCCAAGCAGCTGGTTTCACCTGCGGAACCAGAGCGATTCTGGACCCTTCCCCTTCTCCCCTCTCTCCTCCCCCCATCTCAGGTACGAGCTGGTCTCCCAGCTTCCAGCTCAACTCTGCTACAGTCTGTCTATTTGCCACGCAACCAGGAAGAGCGTTTTTCCAGAGACGTCTCCCACCTCTGGATCACTCTTTTCGCTTTTTTCCCCCATCCTTCAGACACACAGGCCGTGTCATGGCTTCAGTGGCGCCCCCAGTCTGAAGTAGCCTGCCCCAGCCCGTCCCAAATGTGGACTCCCATTTCGTTTCCTTGATAGCCCTTCTCAATATCCCATAGTGTCCAGTCTCCCAGTTTGCAGACTGCCTTCCCACCCGCCATGTGAGTTTCCGGAGCTCCAGAAGCTTGTCGGTTTTGCCCTCCACCCTCTTCCCAGTGGCCAGCCCACACCCAGCGCCTAGTAAGTACTCAGTAAGTGTTGAGTGAGCAAATCTGGGAGTGGGGAAGCGAGTGGGGAAGTGGCAGACCCCAGTGGCTGTGGAGCACGCTGGGTTTGAAGCATGGACAGGTGGCTTCCCAGGGCTCAGAGGGTAGTCACCTGCCCCTCAGCTATGTAAACTCTTGCTCTGGCATCTGCCACCAGCTGGAACCCCTGGGTTGTCGGGGGCACATACGGGGAGGGAGAGGCCAGAGCAGGCAGTACAGGAGAGCGGCAGGGGCTGCCCAGGGGCTGCCGTGGCTTTGCTGACATGAAGGATGGACAGGGTGACCCGGACAGCAAAGAGGAGTCCGGGCAGGTGGGAGCCGGGCCATACACTCACCTCCCAGCTCTGGCCCGGGGACCTTGTCCGGGCCTCAAACTCCAGGTAACTTCCAATGTAGTGGGAGGATTGAGGGACTTTCCAGGTTATGTTGAATTTGTGGGTCTCGACTTCGGTGACTTGGAGCAAGTCGGGGGCCATCAGGCGAACTGAGGCAGGAGAGAGGAAGGGGGAGTGAGCTCAGGGGATGCTGGGTCACCATGCTGAGGGGATAAACCTCAGACGCACCCCCACCTCTACCTTTGCACCTGCTATTTCTCCCTCCTGGGTGCCCTCCCCCCCCCCAGAGATCCTGCGTGGAGAAGCCTTCCGCCACCACCCACCACTCTCTACCCCCTCACCTGTTTTATTTCCCTGCCCAGCCCTTAGCCCCACCTGACATATCAAATATCTGTTTGGGGTTCTTTGTTCATTTTCTGTCTCCCCCGCCAGACCGGGAGCTCAGTGAGGCCAGGGACTGTGTTCTCCGAGATACCCCTGGTGCCTGGAGCATTACCTGGCACGTCATAGGCACTGGATTAAGTATCTACTATACGAAAAAAGTCAAGGCCGCATCCAGAATGGATCTGAGAGCTTTACATGGATCATCTCATGTAATTTAATTGAATCTCAGTATCCTTATAGGATTATAAGATTTTATGATTCTGAAGTTAAACTGACCTAAGTTTTTATAATTCTGGAACTCTGTAGAACTACATGAATGTCTATTGAACATGTGCTAAGCGGTTTCTGTGTCTGTCTCACAAACTCCTTACAGCAACCAGGGTCCGGCAGATAACCGATTCTCCCCATTCTTGATGGGCAAACTGAGGCTCAGATGTGTGAAATGATCTGCTGGGCAGACCACATTCAGTTAAGGCAGGGCTGCATTGAGAACCCTGCCTAGATCTCGCCCTTTCTCCCTTAGAGATGGCCTCCCTTAGAGATGGTCTGGGGATGGGGCTGGGCACCCAGTCATTCAAAACACCTTCCCAGAGCCCTGCCGGGATAAGGCCTGGTGCTGGGTACTTAGAGTAGAGATATAGGGATGACAGACGCTCTACCCTCAGAGAGCTCACAGCCCAGTGAGGGAGACAGTCCCAGAATCAGGCAGTGAGGACCCTGAAAAAACACAAACACCCTGAAAGAGGAGGTACGATGGGCTGAGAGAGTCTGAGAAGTCCTCCTGGAGGAGGTGACTCTTCACTGAGCCCTGAAGGGTGAGTGGGAACTTTCCTGGTGGGAAGAGCCTTCCTGGCTGTGGCACCCGCAAATTCAAGGGCTCAGAGGCATGGATGGGCAAGCTGAATTCAGAGAGCTGACCTTTGGTTGTGATGGGAATACAGGCCACGAGAGGAGGAGTGCTAGATTGGGAAACCAGGACCAGATCCTGAGCTTTGAATACCAGGGGAAGGAGCCAGGACTACATCCCGAGGGCAGCAGGCAGTGAGAGGTCACACGTGGGTATGGAGAGAGACCGGAATGGGGAGGGTCCCAAACAGAAAGACAGGACGGGAGGTTCCTAGCCTGCCCCAGGCCCCCCACCCTTCCCAATTCCTCACTCACGGTTCTCAAAGGGCTTGAAGTCCTGGGTCATCAGTGTCTTCCACCTTTCCCCTTCATGGCACATCACGCTCATGTGGACGATGTCAGCCGCAGTCAGACTCTGAGCCTGCAAGGGAAGGACATGGTAGGGATGGGGGGCGGGGAGGACAGGGAAGAGGGAAGACCAAGACCGCAACAAAAGTGGGGGCCTTCACACGCCCCACCAGCTAAGACAAGGGTCAGCAGACTTTTTCTGTGAGGGTGCAGAGAGTAAATATTTCTAGCTTTGCACATCAAACGGTCTCAGTCACAGCTACTCAGTTCTGTTGCTGGCTTGTAAAAAGCAGTGAGAGACACCCTGTAGGAGAATGGGCATGGCTGTGTACCAATAAAACTTTATTTATAAAAACAGACAGCAAGCAGAATTTGACCCGTGATCTAAAGTGAAGTGAGCTGCCTCAGAAGGGAGGGAGTTCCCCATCACAAGAGACGTGCAAGCAGGATGAGCCCCCAAGAAAAGGCAGGTCTGGAACTGTACCTGTGTAATAGTTTTGAGTGTCAAAGCCTGTCTCTCCCCATTCCCACATCCTGACTTTTTTGGGAAGGATACGGCCAGGCGGTGAGCATCTCCTGCGGGCAGGCACTGCTCAGGTGCCTTAGGCACTTCTATGGCTGATTCTCATAGCAATCCATCCTCATAATGCACATGAGAAGCCTGAAGTCACACATGTGGTCAGCAGGGGAGTCTGGATTCAAAGCCAGGCCTCTGCATCCACTGCCCCCACAGAGCCGCGACCCTGGGCCTCAGGTCCTCTCCAGATATGTGCTCTGGGTTCCAAGAGGGTGTTTTCAGGTGCAGGACCCCAGGCACAGTCCTTCTGACCTACCTGCCACAGGGCCTACCATGAGCAAACCTTGAACCTGATCATCAGAGTCCCCAGAGCTGGGAATAATTCCTCCCTTTCCACCCCAAGGACCCTGCCCCTGCCTGCATCTGGTTGCTCTGGGGGCCTGATGTTTCCAGATAATGATGGTATTATCGTCATTATTAGCATGATCATAGTCGTTGTAAAGATGCCAGGAATACATTGTCCTGGGCTCTTCCTCCGTCCCGGGAGCTCTTCTGCGTGCTGGACACACGTTCTCTCATTTAACTCTCCCATCACCCTATGGGACAGGCACTGTGGCTCTTCTCATCCCGCAGCCAAGAAGGCTGAAGCTCTGAGAGGCTGGGCCTTGCCTGAGGTCGCACAGCTAGGAAAAGGTGGGGCCAGGATCTGAAGGCAGACCCTCTGCAGAGCTCACGGGGACAGGCACAGCTGTCTGGTTCCAGCCGCGTGAGCCCATCTCCACATCCTCCTGCCGCTTAAGAATGGGTACGACCTGATGACGGCTGGAAAATGTGGTCTGGGCAGCCCTGGTGTCCACCGCTGCCGAGGAGGGCGTGACAGACAATAATCTGATGCACGCCCACATAGACGTGGCCACACGCCCATGTAGAGGCAGCCCATCTAGAGGCTTCAATTGCAGCTCTCTCCCCTCCCTGGCAGGGCCTCTCTGAGCCTCAGTTTCCTCATTGACAAGAAGGGGACAATGCTGGGGCCCACCCACAAAGTCACAAGGATCCATGGACTACAAAGTCAAGCGCATGCTCTGTTCTGGGTGGGGTGCCTAGGGCTTTAACCCACAGGACAGCTCTATGAGGCAGGTACCATCATTCTTGCCGTTTCGAGAAGGGCAGCCTAGGACTCAGCAGTTGCCGGATGTCACCCAGCGGGTGTTACGACGGAGGCAGGGCTGGCCCCAGACCTTCAGCTCTGGGATCCGCACCTTTTAGCCCACGCTGCCCTGCACTTGCCAAGGCCTTGGGAAGAGTCAGAGGGGGTTGTTGTCATTGGTGGGCGCCCCCCCCACCTGATGAGGAGTACAGAAGTGTCACAGGACCCACAAAGCATGGGGGGAGGCGGTGAAGCAGAGGCAGAACGACCGAGCAGCTCGGACCACAGATCCCTCAACCCCCAATCGGCCCTGAGTTCTGGCCTTGGACGCTGCCCTGCTTCCTTCCACCTCTCTTGCCCCGGGCAGGCTGCTGTGCCGCAGTCTGTAGCCAAAGCCACTGGGCTCGCTGGGCCCCAGCTCTGCCCCTGGAAGGACCCCCCTCTGCACCTGCCCTCCCTGGGGCTCTCTTCTCAGCTCCCATTACTCACATCTGGGGATCCAAGGACCAGGTGACAGGCCCAGAATGCCAGGCTCATCGGGAGCAGCTCACAGGATTTGTTCCAAGGCCTTTCAAGGCAAAAGAACCTCCTTAGGACAAAAGGAGGGACCCCCAGAACCAGCCCTCGGGGTGGCCCCCCATGCAGCAAGGCCAGTCTGGGCGGGGCTCTATGCCAACCTCGGCAGAGACCCCCATTCCCCCACCTGCTTCACATCCCATCGCGAGTACCTCTTCTTGCCCTCCCCAGCCTAGCCCCACAGTAGCCACAGTGATCTTTGAGAAACAAGCAGTTCAGGACATGTTGGCCTCCCCACCTAAAGCCCTCCAGAGTCTTCCCATGGAGCTGGAAGGAGCCTTTGGAACCCTGTGGAATCACCACCTACCCAAGGCCATGGCCAAACCCAAAGGCTCTTTTGCTGTTGCCACCAGGATGTCCAGATCACGGCAGACCCTTCTCTGACTCCCTCTCAGCCCCCATGCTCCCAACCATGCCCCAGGCCCCTGTTCCCACAGCTGCCCTCGGAGTCTCACAAAAAGCTTGGGGAGCCCCCTTTCTGACTGCCCCCTTGCTTCTAAATCGACTCTAACCTTGGCCCATCAGCCGCACAGCCCAGTGTCCCCAAACTACCCTGTCTAGCTCGTCCCCGGCCCCTCCACTGTAGACTGGACCCCCACTGCTCACTTCCACCCTGGTTCTAGGAATCTAAACATCAGACTCCTACATTTTCCAGACTTCTGTGATACCAAGAGTCTGTGGGTCCTATCAGTCCAAATTCTCAAAGTGCAACATCTTGGAGTCTACCAGTAAGGAATCCCGAGAGTCTAAACACCAGTGATGATAAGAACCACCACCTCCCAATCCTGAGATGCTACTGTTTTGCTGGTCAACCCCACACTCACCGTCTATCCGGATGAGCGTGGATCTTGCAGGACGTGGTCTGCGGGTCCCCATCCCAGCTCCAGACACAGGAGATGTTGGCTTTTGAGTTGTAGAAGCATGTGAGCTTGGAAGTGTCTGCTGACAAGATGAGGCATGAGTGGCTGGCCACGGGGTGTTCACAGCCCCCCAGGGCTCACCCACCACCCTGCTCCCTGCACCCTGTGCCTACCAGATGAGGAGGGAGACAGCCCTGCTGGGCAGAAAGGAACTCAGTGGATCCATTTCAGAGAGGACAACACTGAGCCCCAGAACCTGCAAGGTCCCGTGGGCAGGCCGAGGCAGAGCGGGCATGAAAAGCCAGTGTCTTCCTTTGGCGTGGGGAGACACATGGGTGCAACAGGGACAGGACAGAAGGGCCAAGGGAGAAGGTGGACACCTGATCTCTGGTCCCATTGCCCTTGCCTCCCTCCTCCCCTGCCTCCTGCCCCTGCTGACGGGCCTCTGCCGAGAAGCAGGGGTCCTGAAAGGGGTTCTACAAGGGTGTTGGCCACCTTCCCAAGAGAAAGCGCAGCTATCCAGATGCCAGGGTCCTCACCATTCGCCGCTGTGGATCCCTGAGGGATGGCCAGAGCCAGGAGGAAGACAGGGAGGGACAGACACCAAGACAGACCAGGAGCTGCCATCACATCCATGGGTGGGAGCTGGGGAAGGGAGCCCTAGAGGGAGGAAGAAGGGGAGAAAGCACAAGTGAACACCTGCTCCAGGTCCCTCGCTGCTCTGAGAGGCAGGCTGAGCCCTGCCCATCTCAGCGTTCCCCGTTCTGCTCTCTACCAAGCCAACACCATCCAGCCTCAGGGCCTTTACACCTGCTGGTCCCTCAGCCCCACACATACTTCCTTCCTTCAGGGATTCAGGGAGCCGTACATTGTCAGGGCTGAAAGGGCTCTCTGAGTGAGCCCACCTCCTTGTTCAAAAGCTGGGGAAACTGAGGCCCAGAAAAAGGAAAGATTTGCTCAGGTCCACATAGGGAGGCCAGCACAGAGCTGGGATTAGAGCTCACCTCTTCTCTGCCCTGCTGCCCCCTTAATCACACCTAAAACCCTCATCGGGAGGCTCCTAGATGCCAGGCTGTCTTACACTCCTTAAATGAAGCAATTAGAACTCTATTGGAGATACTCTTATTATCTGCATTTTCAGGTGGGGAAACTGAGGCACAGAGACATAAAGCAAACTGCCCAAGGTCATACAGCTGTTAAGAGGCAGATGTGGAATCTGCGCCAGGGCAGACGGCCCAGAGCCCGGCAGGGGCTCCTGTAACTTCTCTGACTCTATCTTCCCCCACCACCGAGACAGTTGACATGCTTGATACTCAGGTACTGATTATGTGCCAGCAATACTCGGGCGTACTGAGCACTCACGCTGTGCCCAGCACTTTACTACACTAGATCATCTTCTCTTCCCAGCAGCGTGGGGGCTGGGTGCTTGTGTTATCTATCCCCTTACACAGACGAAGGAGCTAAGGCTCTGAGTCATTAACCCCCCAAGGTCACGTGCGCAGAAGAGGCAGAGTTGGGATTTCATTCCCAGCTCACTCACCCCCAGGGCCTATTCCCTCATGTCCTTCGGCCCTGCCCAGACCCTGTCCTGGGCACTGGTCCCAGAGGTAAGGCCAACAGCCTCCTGGCCCTGGAGTCGAGGAGTCAGGGCCCAGCAAGGGCACAGGCCAACTGTCAGGTGTCTGGCTTGGGTTCGAAAAGGAGCCCAGAGAGGTACCTATGGGCTCCTCCTTGCCTGGCCCACCATCCCCACAGGAGGGGGAGCTCCCCGGGGGGGGTAGGGGATGGGGGCTGGTTGCCTTTTTCCTTGGGAACCCCCCCAACAGCACAGGGCACAGCGTTGGGACCCTCAAGGGGTCCAGCGAGCCCTCCTGTGCCCCCCTACTCACTCAATCATGGCCCTGGAGCATGGCACTATCCTCTCCCTGGAGGGTGTCACCCCAGGCCAGCACCAGCCGGCAAGACAACCCCATGCCCAGGACAGGAGCGGGTATAGAGCCTCAGGATGAGGGGAGGAGGGTCGGGGCAAAGGCGTGCAAGATCACAGGAAGGTCAAGGCCAAACCACAGCCCCAGCAGAGGCGAGCCGGCGGGAGCAGAAGCATTGTCTAGAATGAGTTCCCCGCCACTCATAGCAGAAAGGGTGCAGTGATGTACATCACGATTGCAAAGGGCACAGGGAGGGGAGCGTGGGCTCGTCCAGAGCCGGTCGGGGCAGGGAGGGCTCCTGGCCGGCGCCGAGGCTGCACCCTCCAGCAGAGCAGGGCGCGGAGGCCCAGGGAGGCTAAGGAACCTGCTCAAGGCCACGGGCCCAGCCTCAGGGAGAACAAGCAGGACCTCTGAGTCCTAAGCACCGTAGGTCCTGGGTTCTCACGCACACCCACGCACCCTGCCCTTCACGGCTGCACAACCACACTCACTGACTCATGAGGTCCCCACTGCAACCCTGGAAGGTGGCTGTCGTCACCCCCCGTTGACAGATGCCAAGACTGAGCTTAGCGCTGCCCGGGGAGCTGGACTCAAAGCCAGTCATCTGATGCCAAGTGAGGAGATGATAATGACGGGGACAATGATGATGACGATGGTGATGATGGTGACAGGGATGGTGACTAATACTCGGCTCTCGTTCTGTGCCTAGGTCCTTAGCACTCAGCAGATATCACCTCGCTTGGTCCCCACAGCCACCCTGGGAGTAGGTACCATTATGACACCTTTTCTCAGATGAGGAGGCCGAGGCCGGTAAGCCTCTCGCCCAGGCCAGAGTGCAGCCGAGCCGGGGGTTGAACCGCGGTCAGTACTGCCTGGTTTCCTGCCACCGCCGGGGCTGACACTGTGGGCCATGGGGCGCCGGGGGGCGGGGCGAGGACCAGAGGCAGGAGCACAGCAGCCAGACCGCCGGCCGTGATGGGTGCCATCTCCCCTGGTCCTCCTGGCCACCCCCCCGCCACACACACACACAGGGTGGTGGGCAGATGGGCAGGGGGGCTGGCCTCTTGCTGTTTAACTCCAGGAGCATCTCCCCAGCTGGGCTCGGAATCCCAGCTGTGGGACTAGGAAGGGGGACCCTCAGAAGTGGCTCTGCCCCTCAGCCATCCCATCCCACCCCTGCGGTGCTCCTAACACCATTCAGGGCAGGAGGCCTCATTCCCCAGGAGAGAGGGCAGCCCCAGAGATGGAGTCCCATCCCCTCCAGTGGTGCCTAGGGACACTACTGACCTGCCCGCTCACACGGCCAAGGGAGGGACAAATCCAGACTCAAACGTGCAGGTCTGGCCCCCCCAACCCAGGGCTCCCGGAGAGGAGGCAACCCCACTTCATGGCCAAGTCTCAGAGGGGCCCCTTCCCTCCGCTCCCACCCCATAGCCTCTTAAGGAGCACTTTACACAGGGATGCCTCCCCAGTGTGTGTCCTTCCCCAGTGTGGGTCCCCTTCCACAGCCACCAGGAGGGGGCTCGCGGGTCCCCCCACCCCACACCCCAGTGCCCTCCATCTGGGGCTCAGCTGACCTCCCCCCCAGTCTTCCTGCCTTCCTGCCTCTTTCCTCACCCCTTCTGGGTTGGGAAGCCCCTCGTCCCAGAGCAGCTTCCCCAGGGATGCGCTGGGAAAGAGGGGTAGCCCAGAACTAGGGCCATGAGATCAGGACCTGCCTCATCCTTGAGGGATTTCAAGATAAGGCTGGGGGCCGGGAGGGCTCGGAGATGGAAGTTCCAGCAGAATCTCCTGGGGCATCTAAGTGAGAGGTGAAAGTTGTCCCATGACCTTCACTTCCAGCCCTGGGCTGGTGGCAGTGCCGAGAGGGAGCCCCCGCAGGTCGCCGGGAACCAGACGGGGGCAGGGTGAGGGCAAAGTCACCTGGCTGAAACATGGGGCTGCCGCGCACGCTCTTGGGATCTCTCCACTGCTGGGTCCACAGCCATCTCCCCAGGGCCCTGCTCCGACTCCGACCGAGGCAGCCCAGGTAGTAGCTGGCTGATGAGGCCGGCAAAGACTAAAACCCCAGGGCCAGCCCACTTCCTGTGCAGAGGATGGAGGGGGCAAGGCCTGGGGTGGGGACGGGGAGAGAGCAGGCTGGTGAGAAACTCTGAAACTCCTGAAGCACCTAGGGGACCAGATAAAGATCTCCCTCCTCCGCGGCGGGTGTGGGGGGGGCAGCGTGGGTGTCTTGGTAGCAGACACACTCACACACGCGCGCGTGCACTCACACACGCACACGTGCACACGCCCGGTGCCTCTCAGATAGGCGCCTTGCTGCCCATAGGAGCCCGAGGGGGTGCAGCCCCTTCTTTTCCCTCCGCCACCCCAGCGCATCTCACACAGGCCACTTCAAGCCTCTGACACCTTCATCCAGTCTCACACACACACAGCCACTAACACCCAGGCCTCACACAAACACGTCCTTTGAGGTGTCCCCAGCGCTTCTCACACCTATCCCACCCACCCCTCGGAGACCTCCCTTTTCACCCAGCCTCCCAGGGAGCCCCTTACTTACTTTAGCATTCGGAGGGGACCATGTTCCAGGGCTCTGCAAACAGTTTGATGGCCTTTTATTGAACATTCTAGAACCTTCCTTTTCCTTTCAAGTCATGGTTCCTAAGCCTTCCCACCCCACCCCCTGCTCAGGACTTTTTTCTCAAATGATGAGAAATTGGGGGCCCCTCTTTAGAAAGGCACACACCTAGTCATGCACAGTGTCCCAGGCCCAGGGGCCCGTGAAGTTCCATCCAGCATCCAGAAGCAGCAGCTCTGCGTTCTCTTTCTCCTGATTTTGATGACCCTGCCTCAGAGGGGGTTTCTGATAAGCAGTTCCACAGAACCTCCGATCTGCATGGAAGGAAGAGCAGCATTGACAGCCCTGGGGGGAGAGTCAGCGGGCTCCGTTCTGAGGAGAAGCAGAAGCAAGATGCCAGCATCCCTGAGAAGAGCGAGACCTTCTTTAGAGCCTGTCCGCAGAGTGAGCCTCCCTTCCCGGGCGTCGGTGTCCACTGGGCAGAAGGAGGCATGCTGGTTCCGACCGTCTACCGCACAGAGTAAGCTCCTCCACCTCTCCTCTCTCCCAGAGCAAGGCTTTCTGGTTGCAGGAGTAGCTAATCAACACAGCCACCACAAAGATGAGAAGAATAGCCAAGATTTATTAAGCCTAGAATATTTCTGGAAGCTTCTCAAGAAACCGGGAGTGGGGCGCCTGGGTGGCTCAGTTGGTTAAGCAACTGCCTTCAGCTCAGGTCATGATCCCGGAGTCCTAGGATCGAGTCCCACGTCGGGCTCCCTGCTCAGCGGGGGGTCTGCTTCTCCCTCTGACCCTCTTCTCTCTCGTGCTGTCTCTCACTCTCTCTCTCTCAAATAAATAAATAAAATCTTTAAAAAAAAAAAAAAGAAAAGAAAAGAAAAAGAAACCGGGAGTGTTATTTCTCCCAGGAAGGAAAGCCAGGTCAGGAAGGGGGAGGTAGGAAGGATGTTTTTCACTGTAGACCCATGTGTACCACCCGAACATATTTCCTGCCCCCAAATCAATGCATTCAGTTGAAACTTTTAGAAACACATAAAGAAAAAACACATCCCCGGGGGAAGCCAGAAATCACAGGCCCAGCTTGCCGTAAGTAGTCACTGCCAGCAGCTTCGCCCATGGGGATGGCATTAGCCTGCCCTGCTTGGCCAGCCCGAAACCGTGCCCCTCCACCGCTCTTCTTTGCTTAGTCCCTTCTTTCGTTCATTCAGCAAACATTTATCGAGCGTCCAAGATGTCCCAACAGCAAGGTGGGGGAGCCTAAGCTCCCCCACCCAGGCCCAGAGGGTCGAGCTTTTGCTTAGGGGCTCAGGCCAGGACCCCTGAGGTGGAGAGGCAGAGGTGGCGATGGGGGGCCAGTCCTCATCCTCCACCTAAAATCTAACGGCTGTAGGAGCACGCGGGAGGGGGCACATCGTGGTAGAGAGAGAAGGTGGGAACAGGTCCCTCTCGCCCGTTGTGTCCCGTCCTCCTGGGCATCTGCTGGACTCCATAGGTCAGCCTCCCTCGTAGTCCGGTGGAGCCGTGGGACTGAGGGGCCAGTGGGGTGTGGTGGAAGGGATTTTGTCCTACTTCTGGGCCTAAAACCCTCACCTTGTTCCTCCTCTGCGTGGGTCTGTCTCCTTCCCCCCTCCTCCTCCCCCTCCCTCTCTGTCTCTCCCTCTCCCTCTCCCCTTCCTCTCTCTTCCCCCCTCTTCTCTCTTCCCCTTTCTCTCCATCTCCCCCCTCTCCCTCTCCCCCTCCCTCTCCCCCTCTTCCTCCCCCTCCCCTGCAAGAATCCACTAGAGGATGTGAGGCCCTAGCAGGCACCTGAAGGCCCCACTCCCCACTCCCCAGACAAACCACACTGAACTGTAACAGGAGCGAGAAGGAAAGGGCCCAGGAGGTTTTGGAGGTTTGGCTTCAGCAGTCGGTGGGCTTCACCCCGACTGACACACAGAGGTGCCGCAGGTGCCAAGCTGGGTGGTAAAGCCAGGTGAGGGCTGAGCAGGCAGTCCGAGCTTGGGCCCCCAGGCGTGTGCAGAGCAGGCTGGGAGCGGGATGCTCTCTTCAGCATGCACGCCGGTCCCAGCGGCCATCACCTGCCCCTGAGCCAGGTCCACAGAAGCCCCCCTTCCTGGCCCCCCGTTTCCACTCCTGACCCCCCCCAGTCTGTTCTCCGCTCAGCAGCCAGAACAATCTTTCCCAAAGCCAAATCAGGTCATTTCACTGCAGCACCCCCTTTAAACTCTCCAGTAGTTCCCAGCGCTTTCAGAATCAAATCCGGACTCTTCGTCTTGGCCTCAGAGCCCCCTAGGAGCAGCCCGGCCACCATGTCTGGGCTTCTCCTTGGGCTCAGGCATGGCTGTTGTTTGGCAACTCCCCGCGCCTTGGGGCTGTACACAGAGCTCTCCTGCTCTCTACCGAGCTAGCCCCTTCCTTCCCATCCTCAGGCAAGGAAACTGAGGCTCGGGGGTCACCTGACAGAACGTGGCGGAGCCAGGATTCTACCCGGGGTGTGTCTGAGAGAGGATATCCGAGTCTCTGAGGGATCCTGAAGAGGAATCCAGAAGCTTCTCTAATGGCAGGGGCCTGACAGAGCCCACTGAGGCCTGCCCAGACCTTTATCTCAGGACTTCTGGGGGTCAGACCTAGCCTCCTCCCCTCCCAGCCCCCAAACGGCCAGGTTCATCAAATGCTGGCCCCTAAAACTGCCTCTACGTGCCCTCCACACCTCCACCGCCGCTCCGCACTGGGTCTCACCGTGCCCACTGCCCACCAGCCTTCCTGCACCCTCAGCTTTCAGGGCAGAGCCCCAGCAGCTCCCGGCTCCTGACGGGGGAACCCCACTTTCGCAGACGCCCTGGGGCAAGCACATATGGGGTCTTCTGGCTTCCTCCTCCTCACCCCCCATGTGGAAGCCCCCTTGCTCCCCAAGCCCCCCATGTGGAAGCCCCCTCCCTCCCCAAGCCACCGTCACTTCGCTGGCCTCCCAGGCTCCAGATCTGATATCCGTGTTCTTCGTGCTCCCCTGTGAGCGGCCGGTTCACCAGCGCCTCCAACTCCAGCACCCCAAGCAGCTCACGTCTCAGGCAAACTGTGCCTTTCACATAGAAAGTCATTCCTGCGGCGCCTGGGTGGCTCCGTCGGTGAAGCGTCTGCCTTCGGCTCAGGTCCTGATCCCGGCGTCCTGGGATCTAGTCCTGCGTGGGGCTCCCTGCTTGGTGGGAAGCCTGCTTCTCCCTCTCCCACTGCCGCTCCCCACTGCTTGTGCTCTCTCTCTCTCTCTCAAATAAATAGATAAAATCTTTAAACAAAAAGCAAGCCTGCCTCCCCGCTTCCTTGCCAGGACTGCTTGACGGGAGCTAGCTGTCCCGCTCTGCCTGGGCCCGAAAGGGTTTCAGGACATGAGACGTTTGGTGCCAAGGCTGGGAGAACATCGGTCACTCCGTTCGCACCCTGCTCGTCCCCCACTAACTCAGCCCCCCCAGCCAGGGCGGCTTCTACACACACATGGGCAACTGTGTCTGGCGTCACGGCGGGCAGCAGGAACTCTGTGTGACTCGTGCAGACAGTCCCAGAGTCTAGGAATCACCTGGCATACAGCATGTGTCAAGATGCAGGGAAGGAAGGAAAAGAAAGACTCAAAGTTTACGAATCCGATACAATGACGATTCCTGAAGATACAAATTAAAAAGGACACAGGGAGTAATGTATCTGACATTTGCCATCAGCATGGTTTTAAAGGGTGGGTCACTTCACTGGTGGGTGCTCCAGGGGGCACAGCCCCTGCGGGGGGTAGGTTTTGACGCCCTCCATCACCAGCTCCGGCCCATGACCCAGTCGTGGCCGTGTCGCAAGCTCATCCTGCAGAGAGAGGCGTGCGCACGTAGGAAATGTGTCACCAAGCCTGGAAGCAGCCAGAATGTGCATCCACAGAGGACGACGGGTGAGTAAGTTAAGGACCCTCCGCACGGCGGAATGCAATGGAGCCGAAGACAGCTCTCTGTTCCTGACCCGGAACCGTCCCCAAGGTGCATGGTGGAGGGACCCAAAGCCAAGTTCAGAACAGAGTGTGTTGGCCATGACCTGTGCAGAAGGGGCAAACGCGAGTGAGTGTGTGAGTGTGTGAATGTGAGAAAGGGTGTGCAAGTGTGTGGCGGTGTGGGTGTACATGAGGGCTAGCCTGTCTGTGTGAGCGTGTTGCACGGAGGTGCGTGTGTACATTTGTGAGGGTGCATGCGAGGGTGTGATGGCGAGTAGGTGTGAGCACACGTGTCGTGAGTGTGTGCTGGGTGTGAAGGTGCGCCTGTGGGGGGGAGGGTGTGGGTATGTGTGTGTGTGTGTGAAGATGTTGTGTGTGCGTGCATGTGCGAACATATGTGTGTGAGCATGTCTGTGAACTAGCGTGTATGTGCACTAAGTTGTTCTGGAAGGAGTTTCTACAGACTGGTAGCAGTAGTTTCCTTCAGGGAGGGGAGCTGGGAGACCAGAGAGGGTGAGGAAAGGAAGGAACTTTCCTCAATAATCTTTGGTGGCTCAGTCGTTAAGCGTCTGCCTTTGGCTCAGGTCATGGTCCCGGGGTCCTGGGATCGAGCCCCGCATCGGGCTCCCTGCTCGGCGGGGAGCCTGCTTCTCCC